TCTCACCTGCCACCTGGGTGCCCAAAACCACCTGGAGTGCCTGTGCCCGGAGGGTTTCGCCGGGGCGTACTGCCAGGCAGAGGTGAAGGGGACGACGCCGTCCCCGGCCACGCAGGCCCCGCCGCCCGGCCGGCGGATCAGCATCACGCAGGTCAGCAGCACCTCCCTCAAAGTGGACTTGCAGAACTACGTCCAGTCCAAAGTGCAGCTGAAGGGGATCCGCTTGAGCTACCGAAATCTCTCCGGGCCGGACAAGCGACCGGTGATGCTGCGTTTGCCGGCTTCGCTCTCTGAGTACACGGTGCGGGCGCTGAAGCCCAACTGCACCTACCGCGTCTGCATCGGGCCCCTGGGAGAGAAGGTCTCCAAGGAGGAGCACTGTGCCGAGGCGCAGACCTTGCCGGTCAGCCACCAGCAGCACTCGCCCGTCACCCAGAGCAAGGACAGCAACCTGACCCTGATGATCGTCCCCGCGCTGGCCGCCGTGCTGCTGCTGGTGGTGGTGGTGACCGCCGGCACCTACTACCGCCGGCACCGCCGGGCGAAGGCGCACGCTGGCGCCAGAGCGGATGCCAGCCCGCTGGAGCTGGAAGGGGTGAAAGCCTGCTTGGAAAATGGGGATTTGAGCAGCCACGGCCGCAAGGTGCCGGAGGCGGCGATGCTTTCCGGCGGCTCCGAGTGCGAGGTCCCGCTCATGCAGTCGCACTACCCCAGCAACAACAACACCCCGGGGCTCAAACCCTCCTATTTCTGAGCCGGGTGGGACGGGGCTGCTGGGCGAGGGGAGCCCCGGACAGACGAGGGTTGACCTCCAGCGGTGGCACCCGGCTGCGTCCCGCCGGGGCGAGGACTGGCGAGGAGTTAACTGAACTAAGGCAGAAAAACCCCAAACCCATAACGTGCAATTTCCGAGAGGCGGCCGCGCTTCGGGAGGAGACGCTAATTTTACCGCTCAGTGCCTTGATTTCTGCGCCTCTACGTAGAACGTGGGTAGCGAAAGAGAGGGGGGTTTTTAATTTGGGGTTTGGGTGGGCTTTTTTTTTTTAGCTACTGCTAAAAAGAAAGCTGCCAGTGACTCGGCTAAGGGACGTCCACGTGCTGGTAACAAGGGTCCTTTAGCGGAGCACGGCCCGTGACTCTCAACTCCCGGGAAGCTGATGTGAGCGATAAGGCCCGGCCGAGGTGCTGGGACCCTCGGGACCCCCGGGCCAAAGGAAGCGCTGAGCAGGCAAACTGGGAATTGAAGCTTTAAGAACTCGGAGAGAGTATTTATACACGGTTATTTCCCATTTCTTCTGGGAAAACACTTTTTTTTTTTTCTAGTACAGGTTTGTGTACGTCTCTTTTGTAAGGCAGACCAGAAGGGTGTCTTTTTGTAAAAAAAAAAAAAAAAATAATTAAAATGACAACAATGAAAACCTCTTGCAGAGCCCTCAGCACTTTTGCAGGTGCTGCCCATCTCCCCCCAGCTTGCGGGCAGCGCGACGGGCAGGGTGACGCGTCCCCCGCGGAGGAGCGGGAAGGTCGACCGCGTCCTCCCGTTGTTGTTGGCGTGTGCCGGGATGAGTCAGGGTGAGGGAGGTGGGAGTTTTCCCGGCTCTGGGTGGCGGCGCTGGGGAGGCTTCACCCCCACGGCGCTGCCCCCCACCGCAGGCGCTGAGGAGGTGTTCCCAAAACAGAGGCCACGAGTTTCGAATCAGCCCCTGCCCTGCGCATCATCCAGCCTTACTTCATCCCTCCCCGCCTGCCAGATGGCTCCGGGGCCGGCTGCGAGACAAACAGCCCAGCCCAACCTCCTGACGTCACCCCCCGGCGGCACCGGGACCCCCAAAGCGCCCGTGGTGAGCGTCGGCCTGCTCGGTTCCCCCCCAAACCGGGGGGCTGCAGCCCGAGCCAAGGCTCGGAGCCCCCTGCGGTGAGCCCCCAGCCCCAGGAACAGCCGGTTTCGTGTGCTGGCCCCGGTGGGGAGGGCTGGGAGCCGGCGCTCGGCAGGTTCCCGCTGCCAAGTGGTTTCTGCTCCAACCCTCTGGTTTTAATCGTTTTCCAATCCTTTATCTTTTGAGCTGGAATTTTCCAGGTTGGGGCCCTGCCTGCCGAGGTGTGTTTGATTTGGAGAGAATGAGCAAAAAGCGGGCTGAAACGCCGCGGCTGCCGCCAGCGGAACCGAGGGTCACCGCCGTGCCGCGCGAGCTGTCGGCTGCACCGGGGGCCGGCTGCTCTTCGGGAGGCACCGCTTTGCTGCGGGATATGGCCCTGACCCCACAACCGCCCCGGTCCCGCTCGCCCGGGGCCGACGGCGGGAGGGAGAGGCTCTGGATGCAATTAGGGGCGCGGGGCGGCGGCGGGGGCGGCTGGCGGGGCCCCCCTGGCTCCCAGGTGGGCTTCCGGCAGGGCTGGCTCCCATTAGGGCCGGCGCAGCGGCAGGGGGGGGGCCCCCCCCGGGCCGGGGGGGGGGGGGGGGGGGCGCG